TACCTGTTTATCTTTCTTAGTTCTTCTGATAATTACCCYGAAGACCTTTATACATTTTATTCCCAATTCATCAATATAAGATAGTTATTTTTTGGACTTCTTTCTATATGAAATATGGAGAATTTACTACCTCTTACTTTCTGGTCCCCTCTTTCTACTTCCTTATTATGTTATTGCACTTAGATGGTCAGGGTTTCCATTTTGTCCTGTTATCATAGTTAAATCTTCAATGGTTTGTCCTTAGGTTCATTCTGAAAATTTAAAATCAGCTAAAACAGGGTTTTAAAATAACATGATTATTAAAATAACATTTTATTAGGGACCTAATCTTTGGGTATAGACAGAGGAGTGGGATAGCTGGGTCAAAGGGTGGTTCCATTCCAGGTTTTCTAAGGAATCTCCACACTGCTTTCCAGAATGGTTGCACCAGCAATGTATGAGTGTGCCTTTTCCCCCACATCCTTGTCAACACTTATTGTTGTCTGCATTCTTGATAGCCTATTCTGACTGGCATGAAATGAAATCTTAGTTTTGATTTGCATTTCTCTAATTACTAGAGATGTTGAACATTTTTTCCATCTATTTGTTGATGGAGTATTATGGACCTAATCTTAACATGTGATGCGGAAACCCATTCCATTTTGCCAATGGCCCTCTTGAAAATTCTAGTGGGAACTGTCCATGGTCCCCCAGATACCAGCTGATGGGTTCAGGGCAGAGGGCTTGCAGCCCTGTACTGGCACCCAGGAGCACATGGGCCTTTTGGGCAGCTAAGTCCACTGCCTACTAGTATTGAATTCATCAATAATGAGAATTTCAAACCTAAATTGAATTCTCATTATCTTCTAAGGTTGATGATGCCATTGGGAAAGGTCAGATTTGGGAAAGCTCTTCTCATTTGAAGTAAAGTGTTACCCTGCAGTTTCCATTTCATTGATCATGTTGAGCAGAACAAAGCTAATCCTCCTTCTAGTAACAGCCTTCAAATTGTTTGAAGGCATCCACAGGACAAATGCTCTAGTTCTTTTAAGATTTCCTCCTAGAACGTAACTTCAAAACTTCCACCATTCTGCCTATTCACTGAATGTCCTCTGGTTTGTTTTTTTTTCCAAACTTTTTGTTGGGAAGGATAACTTTTTCCTTTATTTCCAATGCATTGTTGATCAGTACTTCTAGAAAATATAAAATGAATGACTAGAAAAATCTATTTAAAAAGATACAGAAATGTATCTTTTTAAAATGTCCAAATTTATGTATTAGAAACCACAGACATAAAATTAAATTTTAATAAATGTAATGAGAATAAATATGAAGAATGGAATTATGCAAATGATACCCTTTGTTCTTTGAAAATATGTGTGTGGGTGATTAATATAGAGTATCACTATTATACTCACAGTTTTTTCTTATATTGCAATCATGTGAACAAAAAATGATGACTAAAATTCCCTGCACTAAAGTTCTACATGCACATTTTGAATGAATTCTGCTTATGTCAGTATTTAAAGTTTAATTGTGACAATGAATTTGCTTCTGGCTTCTTAGGTCTGTTGACAACGCTGCTTGCAGAAAACATGTTTTGTTTTTAAGACACTTATGGTTGGAAACTGTCTCAAAGTTTGTTGAGAGTATAAGAGATTTCAAAGTAATTTCAGCAAGCTCAATATGTTTATTTGTAACTTACATCCAAACTGAAACATATGTGTTTTTAAAATCTGTTCAGTCCTCCATTTGTAGATAGTTGTATTAATTTATTCCATAAATTTATAGTTAAATTATCTCTTGATGAAAGACATAGGTTCTGAATTTTATATGCTTTTTACTCTTAGATTATAGTCTGCAAACCAACCTTAAAATAGCACATTTTTTAATGTGTTCCTACAGGACCCAATAAGGTGCAGCTCACACCATATACCTCAACAAAGCCTGAGCAGAGCCCATACCTTATCAACAATCATGTCCACTGATCATATGTGAAATTTTGTTACCCATTTATAGCAACAATTTGTACCAAAACTGTACCTATTCCATTTCTACCAGCAATGTAAAAGAGTGCCTGTTTGGGGGAAATTCCTGGGTTTGTTGATCCTAACTGCAGTAAGTAGAACTAATGAACTTTCTAAAACAAATTATAAGACTGATTTAGGATTGGAGGAATTAAGCTCCATCCAGAGATTCTACCCTGATGATAAATAGTCATTGTATTTTGAAAGGCAATTTGATCTCAGTCATATCTAAATTTATGTAATAGCATTATCATAAGACAAATCAATTGTGTTTTTATTTTTATTTTTTTAAATTTTTTTCGGTGGACACAACATCTTTATTTTATTTTATGTGGTGCTGAGGATCAAACCCAGCACTCCACGCATGCCAGGCGAGTGTGTTACAGCTTGAGCCACATCCCCAGCCCTCAATTGTGTTTTTAAAAGCACAAATCTTCAAAGGCTTTCATCTATTAATGCAGATTCAGCCATTTAATTGGGAAGCTAAACCGAAGGCCTGGATTGTATTATTTATAAATGCTTTTGTTAGCAGTAATAGTGAAGGAGTCATTTGTTATTTCCAGCATTAATTGGACTGAACCTAAAGATTTGTTAATTATACAAAGAATGTTTAAGTGACCAGCTTCACTCTCTGCCTAGAGCCTGCCCTCATTTGCAAATATGGTGTCCTCTGGGGAGGTCAGCCCTGTTTTAGGAGGAGGAAGCTACTTGTTTCTTGCTCTGTGTCAGTGTGATCTGACAGCAGTCCCCAGGTCCTGGCCACCAATGCCCATGTCACATTACTTCATGCCCTGTGCTTCAGTTTATCCTTGAGGTAGTCACGTAACCAGACTCCAGGCCAGTGGATGGCTCCTCATAGCCGTACAGGTAATTGCATTTGCAATCTGAGGACATCTATTTCCAGCAGATCAGCCCAGTGCCCCTGAATCCCGGAATGATTAATCAGAGGCCTGGGGAGTGGCCTTCCCCAAGGTCTGTCACTAGCTCCTGTCCTGCATTTCATACAGAAATGGCTTGGAGTTCACTGGGCTGAAAGTGTCTAGAAAAAAAAGGAATCGGCCTGCTACCAGGTACTGCTGTGTTCCATGATCACAAGTTAGTTTCAGATTTTTATTAGATATAAATGTGGGCGCTCGGGTTTACAAAGAAGAAATGCTTTGGATTCGCTGGACTGTTATGGTCCTTGTTTCTAAGTCAGTGAACAATAGTATGACCCTGGGTAGAAAAATTCCTCAACTAGTTTAGTTGTGTTTATTGGTCTCTTAGTATCAGCTGCCTCTTGATTAGTTTACTTTAAATTGGCAGGAAGTCCATGGCATTCAAGCAGCTGATATTTTTTTGTGTGTGTATTTTGAGGGCCTTTTGTAAATAATCAGTTACAAATAAAAGTTTGTTGACTATGGAAAATTCCTTTTGCCTTAGGGTTTTTTTTTTTTTTTTTTTTTTTTGTATCAGAGATTGAACCCAGGGGCACTTAACCTCTGAGCCGCCATATCCCCAGCTCTTTTTAATATTTTATTTTGCCACAGGGTCTCCCTAAGTTGCTCAGGGCCATGTCTCGCCAAATTGCTGAGGCTGGTTTTGAACCTGCCTTCTGCCACAGCCTTCCAATCTGCTGGGATTACAGACATGTGCCACTGTGCCTGGCAATTTAGGGTCTCAGTTTTCTAAGCACACCTGAGATTGTAGTTTCTAAGTAAAATGTGGCTGGACTGATTATCACTTATACTGATAATGGTTACTCCATCTGACCAAGTAAGCAGCTACAATGTTACCACTGGAAGAGCAATCGGTAACCTGCAAAAATACTGTATTTTTGATAAAGTGTCCTCAAATCTACTTTAGTGGCCATAATTTAATTATCAGTGGGCTTTCGCTACAGAGATGTCTAGTTTGCAAAGAGAAAGAGGAAACCAAGACCTTGAAAAGCAAGGCATTTTTCAAAGTAAGCTCCATGATGAGTTATTGCATCTCTGGAAAAGACAGGCTTCTTCTCTACCTACCTCTTATCTTTCAAATTGATGCTTGAGACTTACTTGATTTTTAAAAAAAATCACCCCAAGAAAAATACTAAGATGTTCCTCCTAAATAGTAGGAACTACTGTGTCAGCTAACCTTTTTCTGGTCTCCAAGTTGTTGGTGAAGATAAATACCATTTAAAACCAGCTCTAATGCAAAATAAATGATTGTGTTGTAACTAACAGGCTCAAGCATTTCCAGTTTGTTTAGGTGTACAGGCTGTGATTCAATGATACAATTTCTTCTTCTTTTTTTTGCTTTTTCTCCTAAAATACTATTTTATTTTTTTGCCAGTTAATGAGGCAATATAATAGCAATACTGGTTAGTCAACTGCTTAATCTTATTTGATACGAATCCATGTATTTTGGAACTGAATGTTAACAAGTGATTTAAAAATTAAAAGATACTCCTCTGGTGTCTCTTTGGATCATTCTAGATTATGGTGAATAGCAGCAGGTGCACAGGTAACCTTTTATATGCATTATATTTTTCTGAATCTAATATTACTCAAGATTATTTTTCTCAGTATGGCACTTCATCTCCTCAACTTTTAATCCTCCCACCCACCAAATGGCTAGTTATTCCCGTCTTCTTTCTTCAGGTTCTGTCAATTTTCATCTTGTGTTTATGAGATAAGGAGATACACAGTCAATGAATAGTGAAAGAAACATCCAGGTCTTCTTTATGGAATGATGTTTTCCTGAGAATGCTAGTCTATTTTTAAAAGTAGGATTAAARAAGCATCTTTATTCAGATAATTTTTAATGCTTTAACCTTTACAATTTGATTGTAAAGGAAAATTATAAAAATGTGTCTTTATGAAGAAACATTAGGGAACTTGGAGTTAAAAAAGGAAACAGTATTTAACCTAACTCCTTGAAGTCTTCAGAAAGCAAGGTTAATGAATTGCTGTGGGCCCTGCAGGTGAACTCTGCTGACTGCTAATGGTAGTGTCTTCCCTGTGATTATTTCAGGACTTGCTCAGTGCTATGGAGGCAAAAGAAGCTCTTGAAAGGGAGGTGAAGATCTTCCAAGAAAGGTTGCTTGCAGGCCAGCGGGCCTGGGATGCCTCGAAGCAGGAGCTGAGCCTCCTGAAGAAAAGCTCTTGTGAATTGGAGAAGAGTTTGAAGGTCAGCCGCGAGGTGGCCACAGCCTCTGAAAGCCAGAGTGCCTCCTTTAGGGAGAAGGTCGCCGGCCTCCTCACGGGCATATGGGGCATGACTGGGTCCACAGAGGACGCCATTTTGGAGAGGATTCAAGAAATGGGCAGCCAGGAAGAGAACTGGAGAAGGGTGAGTGTGAAATAGCTGCTTACAGGCTTCCTCAGAATAACAAACTCACTCATGTAGCCTGTCCAATACCTGATTTATATGAAGCAGTTAAAAGTATAGTTTATAGGGGGTTGGGCCACTTTTAACTCTAGACAGTACTTGGGAAGGCCCAGGAGTCACTCAAGTGACCACTAACGGGGAAGTAAGTTCTAGAGTCAGAAACCTACCTGGCACTGACCCAATCTCTACCATATTCCCACTCATGGTCAGTGTGGGCTTGGGCCATCCTGAGATGATGGCTTCTGAGATTTTGTTTCCTTATCTCAGTGAGGGTTAGTGCAAGGCTCACAGTCCCTGGGCCCAGTGTGCTTTTCAATTCAGATATATTTTTTTTCAGAGTTCAGAAAGACAAGACAGTATATGGAAAGTCAGTAGATGCAACTGTGCACAGTCCCCCACAGGGGGTCTGCAGAGCCCCATCACCTGCCACCTTCCTGTCACTTCATACCTGTGAGCTCCTGGAGCGGGTGGGATGAATGGAGGCCCCGAAGAGCCTCGTGTCACTTCAGATCAGGGTTTGCTGCTCCACTGGGTCAGGTCAGGCCAGCTTTGTCAGCAACTAAATTAGGAAAAACCCTGCCTTTTGGAATTGCACATAAAGAGTTCTAGACCTGTAACAGTATTTGCCACATAAGGTTACTTTTTAAGTTATAAGATTCGATGGAAAAAATTGTTATGAAGTCCTTAACACACTGTCTGGCAAATCACAGAAATTAATCTTAACTATTGCTGCTGTTTCTGGCCCTCTACCTCTTCCTCCTCCCTCCTCGGTATTGGTGCCCAGAAGAGTCTTTTAGGAGACCTAGTTACCAAATGGAGAGAGGGCTTAATTAATTAATATCCACGGTGGAAGCACATTTAATTTTGTCATCATTCATCTCTCAACAATTCTCGTTTCCTGTAAAGCTTTACTGACCAGAGTTAACTTCAGCACAGCTCTTTAAATGATCATCAAATCAAAATTACTGAAGTTGTAATTAATGAGATGTTAAAGTAAATGATGTCCACATTCTATGTACAGTTCCACCATGGACTATTTCTTCTGTTGATGCCATAGTCATTCAAAAGGAGAAAAATGCACTTTTCCATTTTTTATTGTAAGTAAGAATCTCAGTGATAAGTAATTCAAAGCTCAGAGTTGCGTCCTCTGGCATCTCACCATTTCTCCTCTCCTTATTCTTGCTCTTGATATCCACTGTTTTATTCTCTATCTTTGACCTCTCCCATCTTTTTGAAGATTCTGCAAATAAGTGAGATCATGTAATATTTTTTTCTGTGCCTGGTTTATTTCACTTAGCATACTGTTCTCCAGATCCATCCATGACTGTGGGAGATGACGGGTATGTTCATTTTTTCTAATATAGCAACCATTTTACTATATATGAATCTTATAACATCAATTTGTATGCCTTAAACATACATAAACATTAAAAAAAACAAATTCAAGATTATATTTGTAAATTTCCCTTAACAATCCAAAAATTTAAATTACCCTGAAAAAGTCTCCAAAATTCAAAATACTCTTGAAGGAGTAATTGGGGCTCCTTTGGCTACCTGCAGTATTCTCTTTATGGATATAAAATGTTCATACTCACTCAGACATTGCTGGTGGGGCTTCAAATTGGTACAACCACTATGGAAAGCAGTATGGAGATTGCTCAGAACACTTGGAATGGAACCATTTTACCCAATTATCCCGTTTCTTGGTTAATACCCAAAGGACTTAAAATCAGCACACKACAGTGACACGGTCACATTAATGTTTCTAGCAGCCCAATTTACAATAGCTAAACTAGGCATCCTTCAAGAGATGAATGCATAAAGAAAATGTGGTATATATGCATGATGGAATATTACTCAGCCTTAAAGAAGAATGAAATCATGGCATTTTCTGGTAAATAGACGGAACTGGAGAATATCATGCTAAGTGAAATAAGCTAAACCCAAAGAACTAAAGGCCAAATGTTTTCTCTGATATGCAGATGCTAATTCACAATATAGGGGCGGGTTAGGGAAGAACAGAGGTATGTTGGATTAGAGAGAAGGGAGTGCAGGGAGGGGAGGAGGTACGGGGATAGGAAAGATAGTAGAATGAATCAGACATTATTACCTATTGCATATGACTACATGACCGGTGTGACTCTACATCATGTACAACCAGAAGAATGAGAAGTTATACTCCATTTATGTATGATGTGTCAAAATGCATTCTACTGTCACGTATAACTATTTAGAACAACTAACACACACACATGCACACCACAAATGTTCATACACAGAACGTTCCTTGGCTAACCTCCACTCTGGAAAGCATATGCATCTCTAAGAGAAACTCAGTTTTTCTTGTGATTCAATTTATACAGAAATACTTCATAGAGAAAGGAAATTATTTACAAGCTTGAGAAAAACTTTATGAAGTTATTAACAGTAATAAATGTGTTTCAATAGCCAAAGGTTTTTTCCATTTATTTGACTGCTTTTCCTCTGTATTTCCAATCCTACCCCCCAAATCTATTTTAATTCTGGCATGTGAAACATGACGTACAATTGTCAGCATGATGTGTATGTTTATTTTCTAAAGCAAAATGGTTTAAATTGGTTAAGCCTAATGTGCCTCCCCCACTCCCCATAGAAATTAGAATGATTCAGAATCTTTTTAGTGCCTTTGTCTGCCTTTCCTACCCTGTAATTTTTTTCAATAGCTGTTCTTCCTATTTAAAAGCCTGAAATCAAGCATATAGCTGGTGTCTTGTGTGACTCATCTTCAAGTAAAATCAGGAGAAAATGGATTTTGTACATTGTCTCAGAAATGTTTTTGGAGAATGGGAGCTTTACACATTGATGAATCTATTTGTTGGGGAGGCTGCACCCCCCCGCCAGCTGCTGTGTCTACACTGATGTGAAGCTCCACAGTGGGTGCAGGCTTGGCCTGGCCATCTCTCCCCCTCAGGTCCACTCCTACCTGCTGAGTGGTGCTTTTCATGTTTACCCCTTGGCTACCCATTTTCTCTCTCCTGTATTTGCAGTTCTTGGTAGAACTGAGGACACCACCCACACTTCTTCAGTAAGTCATTTCTACTTGTTCCTTGAATTTCTGCTTCTGGCAAAATTTAATTTTCTTTTTAAAAGCTTTTCTGATTCTTAGAGCAGGTTGCTCAGCCTTGGCATTACTGACATTTGGGACCAAATAATCTTTGCTGTTCTGTGCATTGTAGGGTGATTAGTAGTATCCCTGGCTTCTACCCACAAGACACCATTATCATCCCCTCCCCAATTGTGACAATCACTGGTGTCTCCAACCAATACCAAATGTCCACTTCCTTAGAGAAACAGTCGACAGCAGCTTCCCAGAAATCCTAAATGAGTTGGGTTTTTTTATGTGTGTGTGTGTGTGTGTGTGTGTGTGTGTGTGTGTGTGGTGCTGGGGATCAAACCTAGGCCTTGTGCCTATGAGGCAAGAGGCCTATCACTGAGCCACATCCCCAGCCTGAGTTTTTTTTTAAATTTTTTTTTATTAAGTCTATTTTGTTTGGGAAGTGGGCAGGAATCCAGCTTCAGAACTTCTGGAAGAACTTCTTGGTGCCAGCAGCCTTGATGTCCTGAAGTCTGTTGAGGCGCACTCTCTTGCTCAAGGGCCTGCACACTGGTTCACGGTGACAAGGTTGTCAAGCTGGACATCCCTGAAGCAGCTGGAAGACAGGTGCACAGACATGTTCTTGTGGCACTTCTCACAGCGACTGCACTTGCAGACGGAGTGGAGACAGTCCCTTGTGGATCTTAGGGCCCTCAGTGTCTTCATCTTAGCCTCCAGGCCAGCCAGGATCCACCCTTGGATGGAGCTAGTAACAATGGAGGGGCACTTCCTGCCAATATAGGTGCCCTCAGTGGCCTCGCTGGGTRTCTTGAAGGCCAGACCAATATTCTGGTAGTATCAAGGGAGTTTCTTCTTCCTAGTTTCTCCCGGCAGGACCCTCTTCTTGTTTGGAAAGATGGTTGGCTGGTTTTGGTAGGCCCGCCCCATCTGAATGTCCGCCATCTTCTCAGCTGCCTGAAATAAAAGAACCTAAATGAATTAATGAATTTTCTTTTTACTTTTTTTTGGTGGTGCTKGGGAATTGAACCCCAGGGCCTTGGGTAGGTGAGGCAGTCACTCTACCAACTGAGCTATACCCCCAGCCCTCTAAATGTATTTTAAGATACTATTTAGCTTTGAAATTTCAGGATGCCATAGCAGATATTTATGAAATAGTGATTCCACAATGGCAGATAGTTGTAACGTTTTTAGATTTTTACTTTAGAATTTAAATTAGAAGCAAATTTTTCCCTACTTTGAGGTGTTTACGAACTGACTGGTCATCTGGATGAGAACTGATTGAAAATAGAGCAGATATGACCATGATCAATTGTTCATACTTTCTTAAAGACAAATTCATGCAAGCTGGGCATGGTGGGGCATGCCTGTAATCCCAGTGGCTTGGGAGGCTGAGGCAGGAGCATTGCAAGTTCAAAGTCAGCCTCAGCAACTTAGAGAGTTCCTCAACAATTTAGCAAGACCCTGCCTCAAAAAAAAAAAAAAAAATTAAAAAAGGGCTGGGTATGTGGCTCAGTGGTTAAGAACCCCTGGGTTCAATTCTAGGTACCAAAAAAAAAAAAAAAAAGACAAATTCACGCAAGTTCATACACCTTGGCCTGGACAGCCTTTTAGTTCTGCATTAGGCAAACCTAAGGCTTTACTTCCTTCGCTGGAAAGTGTCTTATTCTGGGGGCTCTGTGGGCATTGTGGAGACCCAGCTTGAAGCCCTAAAGAGCCTGGAATGGGCTCCTTGACCCACCTACTTCTTCTGGTCTCAGAGCCCAGTCCTTGCTGGTGTCACCTGTTCCTGCTCTGTTCTTATCCTGTGATATGGTTTGGATGTGAGGTGTCCCCCAGAAGCTCACCATGCACGAAGGTTCAGAGGAGAAAGGATCGGGTTGGGTATTAACCCAGTCAGTGATTTCATCCCCCAATAGGGGTTACCTGAGGGTGACTGACGTGGTAGGGTGTGGCTGGAGGAGGTGGGAATTGGGGTGTGGCTTTGGTGTGTATTTTTGTACCTGGAGAGCGGAGTCTCTCTCTGCTTCCTGATCATCATGTGAGCAGCCTCCCTCTGCCACACTCTCCTGCCATGACATACAACCTCACCTYGAGCCCTGAGGAATGGAGCCAGCCTTCTATGGACTAAGACCTCTGAAACTGTGAGCCCTCAATAAACTCTTCCTCCTCTACAGTTGTTCTGGTCAGATCCTTTAGTCACTGAAACATCCCGTGACACCTACTARAGCCAACATTTTCCCAGAAGTGCCAGTTGATTTCTGGTGATGCTTCATTGTATGAAACTGTGTTCCATGGTCACCCCTGGCTACAAGGGCATCTGAACAGATACAGGTTCAGCTTTCCTGGCCTCTCTAATTGTATTTGTTTCCTGCTGTAACAAAGTACCACGAACTGGGTGAACTAAACGACAGAATTTTTTTTTTTCTTTTCTTCTTTTGGTTCTGGAGGTTAGAAATCTGAAATCCAGGTGTTGGCAGGGCTGGTTCCTCCTGAGGTCTGTGAAGAAGACTCTGTTCCATTCATCTCTCCTAGCTCTTGATGGCTCAGGCCCACCTTGACTTTAGGATGATGTTCTCCCTTGACTTATATTTTTCTGCATATCTGACTTTGTGTCCAAATTTCCCCTTTTAATAAAGACACGGGCCAAAGTGAATTGGACCCTAAGGTAATGACTTCATTTAAATTTTATTCTTTCTGTAAAGAGCTTGTTTCCAAAATAAGGCCCTATTCGAGGTACTGGGGTACCTGGGGATGGGGTATCTTACTCAATGCATCATAAAAGTTGTCACGAACTAAATGGAGTGGGTAGAGTTAGGGAAATTTGACTTAAGGACCTGGCACCTGATAACTTATTTTATATATTTCCTAAGTGAACATTGAATCTTGGATGATCCACAAGAGTTGTTTATGTCCAGAGGCACTGGTGCCCAAGTGACCCAGTAGCTTTCCTTACTTCGAGCCCTTCTGTTTCTGCTTACTTCAGTCTCAGAGCACAATGCCTCTCTGATGAAATCAACAAATCCTTGTCCTTGGGAAGTGAAGTACCTCCGTTAGGGCGTTATGACTTCACTTTCAAACACGGTACTGCTGCCTCTCGGAGCAGAGTTTACTACCGTGACTTTTTTTTTTTTTTGGTTGTTGTTGTTGTTTAAAAACCAGGAGTATTTGTTCTTTGTGAGACCCACCCCTGTTTCCTACACCTCTAGGTGGAAATCCCAGGCACATTCTGTCGCAGGGACTATCAGGTGTATGTTAACAGACGATACAAGAAAAGAGGAAGAGGGAAAAGCTTACTGACTCTAGATTTTTTTGGTGTGAAAAGCAACACATGTTTACAGTTTGGGTGGGACACATATGTTCCCCCAGACACCGGGCATTTGATGTTCCTAAGAACTGTGTCAGATGGGAATGTTAATTTATTTGATTACAGTTTTGTAAATTTAGTTCTGAAAAAAACCCAGTGGTGCCCAATGGGCTGACACAGAAATAAGCTTATGAAGCAACGTTTCGTACCCAGGGGAGTGTGGGGAAGTCCTCGGATGTTGGTAGGCCCCTCCAATCCGTAATCCTGGCAAGGTAACCAGGTAGATTCTGCACCGTTTAACCATCTCATTTAGTGGTCTTAGAAATCATACTATGTGAAGTCTCCAGGGTTCCTTGGCATACCATTGGATCCACACAGGGTCAAGATGCTGATGGGATCCTCTTACCTTTGATTTGAAAATATTTGTCCCTCCCAGAAAGACTTCTAGTGGATAAAAAAGAAAAAAGACTCTACAGTTGAAAACAGTTTGAGAAACATGACATAGGACAATTTCTGAAATGTTCTTTACCTCTTTAAGGCAAGGGTGTATGATTAGCTGAACCCATGCCCTGGAGCAGTAATATGAGTGTACCACGTWGTAACTTCCATACGGTGTAAGACAGGTCTGATCCTGGTGCAACAGAAGTTGTGTGCTTCGCTTGCAAGGTGACCTACAGAAAAAAATGACCAGAGTCCATAAGATGTGGCCTCCCTGGGAAGCTGGTTCCAATTGTTTAAGGTTTGACATGTTTCTGCACAATAGGAGATGTGGCTTTCAGCTGGACTCCAAGTAGGCAGTGAGTCTTTCTGCTACTCAAATTTGTTACTCAAATGATCTAAATTGGCTCCTTTAATCATCTCTGAGTTTCAGAGAGGAAACATGCTGGTAAACATGCTGGTAAACAGTTCAGAGGGACTCGGAACCAGGGCTATCTGACTCCAGCGCACCCGCCCCACAGTGTGGTCCACGTTGAAGATGTCCGCTTCCTCCTTCAAGGTCATTACCACTCCCTAGTCCACTTCCTGTTGCTGCTCAGTGTCGTCTTCAGGATGGAGTCCTCCCTGGCTGATTTCCAGGGAGCCTGTGCTTTCTTCGGGCGAGGGCTGCTGCCAGCCCACACAGCTGAGTGCACACTTCTCCCTCTGCATCTGTTTCCCCTGTGGTCTTGTCCTCTGTGCTGGGTCCCTGTTGAGGTAGGAGAGGTGTTGAAGGCGCCTCAGGTGGGGAGAGTTGCTCCCTCCTGGAGCCTGGAGTCAAGCCACATCTCCTGTGGTGCAGAAATGCGCGTCAAACCTTGAACAGCATGAACCAGCTTCCTGGGGAGGTGGCATCTTGAGGACCTTGTTTCATGGACATTTTTCTGTAGGTGACTTCACGTGGTGTACCAGGGCGAGCACACTATTTCTCTTGCATTAATATCAGATCTATTGTTATTAAGTACCAAGAGCAGAAAATATAAAATGAAGTATCTCCAGAGCCTCATATTCTGTAGTGACATCAAGAATTTCCTTGGGAAATCGTTCCTTGAATGTGGCTCTGCGCAGCTCACCACCAAACATCTAAGCCCCCACATAAACAGAAAATTAAGTGAATAATAGGCCCGAAACTCGGAAGGCTACAGAAACCCTGGATTAGAGAGTTTAGAGGGCATATAGTCTAACCTTGCCCCTGGAGCACGTCAGTTCATCCTATAACAAATGGTCACGACTTCTGGCCATCTCCAGCGACTGGGAACCCACCGCCTGATGGGGAGTATAAAAAGAATTGAAGTAAATGGTAACACATTCTCTGGATTAATTCTTAATATTGTCACTATAATCTTGAGTATTTTGAATGGCATGAGAAGATGCTTAAGATACAACTAGGTAAAAACAAAGAAAGCTGCATACGTAATATAATTTCAGCTATATTTTAATAATATATAACAACTTATTTAAAAATATCAATGTTGTTTCCTCTAGGCAGTGAAATCAGAGGAGATTTTTTGTTTGTTTGTTTATTTATACTTTTTTGTCCTTAACAAATGTTTTATAATGTGCATGTGTTACTGCTATTATTTTGGGATGGGGAAAATTTTCCCCTTGAATGGATGTGGGATTCCTTCTCCAATTTAYACTCATTAGTCCTCTGTGGAGGCTGTGAGGCAACTTGGATCATATCTGATTGTTCTTCCACATAATAGATGTCCAAAAAAGCTGAAGGGAGCTTAAAGTTCTTCTTGCCTTTCTACATGGTTGTTTATAGAYAGGCGAGCAGAAACTTTTATTTTATTTTTTTTGTTAATTTAGGCTTTAAAAACTGAAGTAGATTGCATACCCTACAGAACGATATGTAAATATCTACTATTTTTTTTCCCTTTCCTCTTCCAAAGGAAAACATCAAAGGAAAACAAGTACATTGCCCAAGCCTTCTGGGTTGTATTGAATTCAACATCTTATGAAACTGGGTTTGAGTTTTCCGAAAGTCTACGGGAGGTCTTTGATGAAACTTATTCTCTTGGCATAAGGGGACAAGACAGTTGAGACAAACAAACAGGCACTTTGGAAAGGATGCAAYTTTGGGGAAATCTGGGGTTGTGGAGAACCCTGGGGAGCTGAAATGGAGGGGCAGTGGTTTCATGAGGTAGGAGAGGGGACAGTTGTTAGATTTTTTTTTTTTTTTTTGTTGGCTCGATGTTGCCATTGACCTTGTTTGGAGTCATCATCATGGGGAGATTCTGACATGTCTAATGCTAAAATGAACTTTTTTGCCTGTGTCCTGCAAAGTCAGCACCCCTGGAGTTTAGGGTGTGATGACTGATACAAGGTTGAAGAAGTTTGAAAAAAAATGTTTCTGCACTTGAATTCCCTGCAATGCCTCAAGGTTATTTATCAAGATCATCTTGCTGTGTAATCTTCTGTCACCTGCGTGTGGTGGCAGAGTCTCTCTGGGGAATGACTCTTGTAGATTTTGGAAAGTGCTTTTGTTCACCCTCTTTTCCAACTAAACTTCAAAACTTCTAAATTAATGACAATTTGGGAGGTAAGTAGATGTCATCTGTAAATACTTATCGATTAATCTGTTGAATGTCTTTATACAAATTAAAAATATGTGTCAAAGATATTTTATTAGATAATGAAGGCAGATTTACTTCAAGCAGAGGCAAATAGAGCTACCGGTGACCTATTTTTGATTTGATTTTTGCAAAGAATCTGGAAGTGGGTGTCATTAATAGTGAGGCTGCTGGGCTGAGCTGGATTTTAACACTTTGTTGCATCTAAAACAAGGCTTATCCTGGTTGTGGCTCTGTTTCCAGATGGTCTCCCAGCTTGAAGCACAAAGAGCAGAGCTTGTCGAACAGTTGGGAAAGGTGTCTGAGTCTCACCAGGAAGCTCTCCAGAGAGCCCACAAGGCAGAAGACAAGTTGGAGACGCTTCAGGGTCAGCTGACACACCTGGAAGGAGAGCTGGTTTCTGCAGATGTTTTACGAGATAACTCGAATTTTGAGAAACAAAAAGTAATGACCCCAGGGGACGTCCATGGGTGGTAGCATCTGTTGCATCCTAAAAATTTTACCTGAGAATATTCTGAATTTTGCAATACTTAGACTGATTATGACTTGGGTCCTGAGCAAATTTCAAGGAACACTGAGTCTCTTCCTATTGTTTAGAACTTCTTTGATCCGAATTCATTCAATTAAACTCATATTTTCTGAATGCCTATGATATATGAGGCCCTGAAGGTTTGGGGGCAGTTAAAGTATGAATAATACATAGCCTCAGAATTCAATCGAGGAGACAGACCTTCAGATAATTTGCTGTGCCCTAGACTGTGTATGTGTTAATATAGTGTTGTAGGCACTTCTGGGTAAAGAGAGTTTACAGGAGAAGAGATAACTAAGTGCATCTTTGCAGGATAAGTAGGATTGTAGTGGTGAGAAGGGGCTGATAGAGGAAGCAGTTTGAACAAGGGCACAAAACCTTGTAAGTGCTGTATTCAGAGAATGCAGAGTGGTTAATCCTTATGGCTGGACCATGGCATTCTAAGTGGGGCTATGGCAAGAGACAAGACTGGAATGGCTTAGATGATAAAGACGGAGCATCTTTATTCTGTAGACTGTAAAAGTGGAATAAATGGTTGTGAGCATAATTGTACAGGCATGTGCTTCATCACAATGATTTAGTCGTGATGGACTGTGGACAAGACTGTGGTCCTATAAGACTCTATTGCCTACTGATGTTACAGCTTTTAGTCTGTGAAACTAAGGCGTGCTAAGATGTTCCCACAGTGATGAGATTGTCTGAGGATGAAGTTCTCAGAACGTGTCCCCAGTGTTAAGCAATGCGTGACTGCATTTCAAAACCGTGAGGACGCTGCGGAGCTGAGATTGTGGTATGGAGCTGGCCCAGTGGGAGAGAGGGATGACGAGAGAAGGGGTCCACCCTGAGGATCCGAGGGTGGGAGACCGTCAGCCACCTCTGAGATGCAGTCTGAAGGGGTGGTGAGAAGGGAAGGCAGTTAGCTCTGGGCTGAGGGGTGATTGGAAGAGAAAGCCCCCTGAATGGTGCCTGTGGATGGGCAGGGCAAGCAGCCTGGGTATGATCAGTAATAGAGATGGGTATAAATGTGACAGGGACTAAGGAAAAGGAGGGATGAGTTCCTTCCCATTCCTGCGTGTGAGGAAATGAGCTGTCTTCACAGAAGAGATGCCACTTATCAGGATCCTCAGGAATGAATAGGAATTTATCAGGAATTCCCCTCGGAGGGATCTGCAGGAAGGAAGAAGAAATGGAGGTTGACCAGATGGCCCAGGAGGTGAAATGTGGCACAAGGAGACTGGAGCGTGGCGCCTGGTGAGGCCAGAGGTGTGAGGTGCACCCTGGGTGGTGGGAATAGGGAGGCAGGTGACGTGATCTACTCAGGCTTCACTCTGTAGGTGATGGGAAGCCACAGAAGGTTCTTGAGTAAAGGAAAGTTTTCTCTCAAGGCAGATTGGCTTGGAGCATCTTAGAGGCCAGAGGTAGGGGAGCCCAATGGGAGATTCATGGAACAGTCTAGATCAGAAGGTAATAAGGGTGCGTGGCTCTCTGTGGCCCCCAGGATCTGGCAGATTCCTCCTGGTACCAGGGCTTCACCATCTGTAGGCTGCCAGGCCAAATCTCTCTGGCCAATGGGACAGACTCGAAGCATTCAGGGGCCAGTAGGACCCTGGCAGGGTGGGTGGTAAGTGATTCCTGAGCCTGAAGACACCCATGTTCACATCGGTGGCACTCCTCTGGCTTTGTGGGCATCTCACGCTGCGTCAGGAGAAGGTCCTCCTGCCTTCACCTGGTAAGAGTTAACCTTCCAGTTGCCACTCGGATTCCACTGGTTTCTCTCCCTTCCCTTCCTCCAGGGCCTGAAGTGACAGTCTTTAAATACATGAATTATAGAAGAAATATATCAAAGGCAAGAATTTCAAGTGGATTGTTATCTCTTCCCCCTCCTTTCGTAGAGTGAATCATTAATTTTAATTGGGATGATGCCAAAATAACTCCCAGTTATGAAAGCCAATTATGTCAGCTAATTCTGCCCACGGTGAATTTTCCGGAGATAATTGCATATGAAATAAATGTCCTGGTGAAGGCAGGGTTGTGCAAATTGAAAAGCAAAGTTGTGCAGAGATTAAATGCTCAATACAGGTAATCTAGCCTAACACAAGGTGCACAAAAATGCACTTTTGAACGTTTATTCTGAAATGTGGTTCCGACAAACAAAATGTTCACTCTCGTTTGCTTCTATGTATTTGGAAGTTTTCAGCAGCTGCAGTCTTCAGAGGCACAGCTAAGGTTCTTGAAATGGGCACTTCCTTTGCAGGATCTTGGCTTGTCCCATCTTGATCTTTTCTTGCCTGTTGGAGGTCCTTGCATGCTAAGGGTGGGCCACACATAGAAATAGAAAAAAAAAGGGGGCTTTTCTGTCTTAATAAAAAGGCAACAACTCTTACATAAAATAAAAGCAGTTTAGGTCACTTCCGTGCACAGAGATTAGGGATCAAACATTCCAAGGGGAGAAGGGACACAGCATTAAGAGCTTGCTTTTGTCCCTGGTGATGCAGGGACAAAAGCAAGCTCTGGTATTGTAGGACGATGCAATGTGTGATGTTTATAACGATTGTGACCTATACAAAGAAGAGGTTAAATTATATTTATATGTATGCTATTTATCAAAACTAGAGAAAATATACACTGGGAGATAATTTCATYCCGATGACTGAAATATAGAACGCTCCCTGCTTTAAGATGGTATGTTTAGGCAGCAGGAAATTATTTACATATTTAATTGCCTGAAAATGGCAGATAGAAGAGAAGTTCTTGCAATGAGAAGAAAATATCCAAGTTAGAGGCCAAATCATGCAATGGTGAAAGCTCATGGACTGCTTTAGTCATCCAGCCAAAACTCAGCTTTAACAAGTGGAGGAGGACTCAGTGACTTTCAACTATGAACTTTGACTTATTTTGTATGGTTCTATTTTGGATGTTGTTCATTTAACTTTGATACATTGAAATACTTTTAAAGACATTTTGTAAGATATTTTTAACTTAAAGAAACAAAACAAAATGTTGTTCAAAAATTTTGGGTGGGGGGAGCTTTGATTTTGAAGAGATGGGTGGGGCACAGGAGAGAGTTAAGTAGCCACTGGTTAAGTTGCCAGTTTCTACCTTCAGGGTCCTGGTCCAGTTCTGTGGGGGAAAACTACCACAGAAGGTGCATGGGTGGGCAGGTCCCAGGAGCTGGATTGGCTGGGGGTGGGGCACGATTTCATCACTGTGTTGCCACAGCCGAGAGATGAGGATGTAATTGTCAACCCAGCCAAATTTGTCATATGGCCGGACGAAGAGGAGTGCATGACATTAGATTGAACACCAAGGTCACTGATCAGGATCAGAGTCCAGGCTCCAGTTTGGGTTTAAAGAGAACCACCGGTAAGCTTGGGAGAAAGAGAAGGATTCAGTGAGCTCACACATTAACGTTACTTTTATGTTCCATTTTCTTTTTCTTTTTTTTTTGGTCCTGAATTTAGTATCTTAAATTTCTGGATCAGCTTTCAGAGAAAATGAGATTGGACCGGATGGCTGCTGAACTTGGCTTTGACATGCGTCTGGATGTGGTCTTGGCGCGTGCAGAGCAGCTGGTCCGCCTTGAGAGCAGCGCAGTCGTTGAAAACAAGACGATTGCCTACAATTTACAGAGGAAGGTGGGTGACGTGGAAAATTGGGAATGCCGAGGAAAAGAATTTCTGAAAAACCCCAATATTGAAGAGTGACTCACCCCCGCTGTATATACCAGTGGGATGGGAAACACAAATTATCTATTTACCATCTGGGTCTTGATTTCAAGTCTGGAGAGTTGCTAAGAGTGTGTGTCACTTTCAAGGTTATTTTCACTGGGAGAAATGGAGGCCCCAAATAATACATTTTTTATGATTTTTTAATTTGTTCTTTTTAGTTAATAATACATGACATTAGAGTGCTCTGATTTTGATACAGGATACATACATGGAGTATGACTTCCCACTTTTGTGGTTGTACATGAGGTGGAATTACACTGGTCATGTATTCGTATATGAATATAGGAAAGTTATGTCCAATTTTTTTCTATTCTCACCCCCACCTCCCCCCAATCTGGCAAAACCCCCGTSCCCCATTGTGCATCAACATTYATGTATCAGAGAGAACATTTGACCTTTGTTTTTTTGGGATTGGCTTATTTCACCAGCAACTGACATGATTTCATTCTTCTTTAAGGCTGAGTAATATTCCATTGTGTATATGTACCACATTTTCTTTATCCATTTGTTTGAGGAAGGTCACCTAGGTTGGTTCCATAGCTTAGCTATTGTGCATTGAGCTGCTATAAATATTGATGTGGCACACCACTATGTGCTGATTTTAAGTCCTTTGGGTATGCCAAGGAGTCCTAAATAATATTGACTTAAACAAGCAGAGGTAGTTTCTTTTCTCACATACATTTCTGGAGATAGGCCGMTTGGGGTTGGCCTGGCAGCTCTGCTCTGTCCATTCTTCAAGAAATCAGACCCGTCTCAGCTCATTAATTTACCATCACTAGGGTGGTCCTTATCCTCAGGTTCAAAATGGTGCCCACWCCATTATATCTGTGATTCATGCAGAAGATTGGAGAAGAAGGGGATGAATAAGAAGGTTACAATAGAACATGCAAGAGGTGCCTTTGAAGATGGGGCCCAGAATCTGCTACATGAACTTGCACTTATATCCCCAGCCAGAATGTGTTCTGATGGCCAAACCTAGCTGATACGGAGGCTTTCAAATGCAGCCTCAACTGTGGGTAGCCATTCACCTCCCTTAAAAAATTCAGTTCCCACTGTTTTGCGAGAAGAGGAGAATGGGGGATGCATGTAGCAGTGTCTGCATTTATAAGCTCTGTTGCACAAGAAATTAGAGAAAGAAGGACCAACTTCTCATTCACTCTGAGGAAGAGTTAGAAACAGTGTAGACAAAATGAGTGAATGAAAGAAAGAACAGAAATAAGTATTATTATTAGTTACATAATTAATGGTATTGGGAAAAGAAAACACAGATGTGTTCTTATTATTGTTCTTAGGAGAAAATTTGATGGTCAAATTTTAGTCTAAAGACTGGGTAATGAATGACATCTGGGTTTGCAATTTGGCTCAACCAAGCTGAGTCACCTTGGGAAATCGTGTACCTCTCTGTTTCCTCATATTAAGATAGGAATAGTACTTAATAGAACTGCTATTCTTTAATAAACAACATCTTTGAACTCTTGGTTCATAGAAGATGCTCTGCTCATATTTGTCTTCTTTCCTTTAGACTATAGCTGGAGGAATATTTTATAAAAAAGGAGAGTAGACAAACCAAATTGCCAACAGGGATGTTAAACTGAACAACAATTGTTTCCCAAGTCCTCCTTGGATAATTGATTTCMTTTTGAAATATTATTTAAATATTATTATTATTTATTCCAATATAAATAAGAATTACAGAACTATTAGAACAGTCAGGGTGTAGAGTTTACCAGTGTAAATTTGCCATAGAGTGGGATTTGACATGAAGATGCTCAAGAAAGGGAGCCGGTGGAGGAGGAGTGGGAGGGGCTTGTTCAAGAATGACTTGGGAGGCATAGGCACAGTTGTCACTGTGAGGCAAGGAACTCAGCAGCATTTCAGTAAGTCCCCCACCTTATAATACCGCATAAATGTGGAGAAGATGATGAGGGATTGTCGGTGATTCTTCCTGACATTTGTGGCAGAATGACTGAGGTGTCTGGACTTAATATAGCACCCTTTAGTTGTGACRCGTGGAACCCTGGAAGGTCTTTTCAGTCTTAGGGTCCAGAGTCATTTTGTTTTTTTCCTCCATATTTTTATTGGGTACATTACAGCTGTACACAGTGGTGGAATTCGTTGTTACCTATCCACACATGCACACCAAGCAACAGTGYAATGTTATTCCCGCGTATTTCTCCTTTCCTTTCCTCTTCCCTCCACCTCATCCCTTTCCTCTACTGATCTCCCTTCGAGAATCCATGGTCATCTAAAAAAATCCAATTTCCTTCCTCAAGTTTGACTGCCATTGAGAAGCCAGTTTGAGGACTTTGCTCTTTGTGTGGTTGGTTGATCTAATCAGCCAGTCGTATAACAAAAGACCCCAAAGAAATGAAACCTTCTAACATTTTCAATACGTAAACAAAGATTTCTTTAAAAAAAAAAAAGCTTCCTTGTTTTATCATCTTTTAGCAATATCTGCATTCTCATATGGGGTGCTTGTTAAAGGATGAGTTGTCACCAAGAGGGACTGAAATCAACCAGTCCGGGTTCACGATATTAATTTGCACCCTATGTTGTTTCAGAAAACACCAGTGAAGGCATCATGGTYCGTGTGTGTTGGAGAGGATTTTGTCTCCCTGTCTTGTGTTCTGTTCTTGATAAGCCTGTTTTAGTAGTTTTAAAGTAATTTCACATTTTTATTATGATGCACACAATGTTGGAGAGAAGCAGCTATGGGAAGTCTTTGCACATCTTCTGCGGCTCTTTTGTCTCATACTTTGCAGCTGCAAGATCCATTCTTGGAAAAATATGAATTAAAAAAATGCAATCAGGGAAAGGAACCCAGTGACCTTTTTTTTTTTTGACGGTTTACAAATTAGTCTTATTGAAGTGTAGATAAAATTTGACATTATCTCTAATTCATTTATATTTACTGACTCTTCAATTATTAAAAAAAATAATCCCTCTTTGTATCAAACCAGCTAAAGACTCAGAAAGAAAGACTGGAGAGCAGAGAACTCCACATGAACCTCCTCCGGCAGAAAATAGCGCAGCTGGAGGAGGAGAAGCAGGTGCGCTCAGCCCTGGCCACAGAGAGGGACGAGGCCCAGCTCACCGTCAGGAAGCTGGAGAAGAAGGTGGAAAGGATGCAGAAGGAGCTGAACCTGTGTCGCGAGTCCAACCTGGAGCTCAAAGCCAAGCTGGCCGACACCAGTGAGCTCAAGGCAAGTGCGAGGCTCCGTGTTCTTGTTCCTTTTGCAGGCTCCCAACAAAGCTTATGCAAAAGAATGAGCCTTATCATGGATGCACCAGGGTGGGGGGGGGGAAGAAGAAAATTTCCTCTGTCGTGGGGAAAATGCCAAATTACATAAACCAGAATATCTGATTTAGGGACTTCAATATTTGAGGTGATCACTATTCAAAGAGTCAAAAAGAGGTAAAAATTTAGTGCAAGGAAATAAAAGCATTTCTTTAAGATGTACATGGATGTGTGGTGAGAGATGATGGAGGGATTTAGCAAATAGAAATTCATTTAGAAGAAATGAGAAAACGGGTACACGGTTTACTGAAGAGTCCGAGTTCGACGGTAGAAGGGATCAGCAGATGGGGGAGGCAGTCCTGGATTCGAGATGTCTCACGTCTACTAAATACAGAGAAGAAAGAAATGAAACCCCCAGAGGGATTTAATAAGAATATCCCAACGTCCTGCAGGTGTGCTTCTGGCCACAATATGTCCACATGCACACGTTTCCAGCGGGTCTAGTMACTGCCTGCTCTTGGCAGGGGAGTGCCCTGAAACTGACTTTGGGTGTTTCTGAATTTGGAACCAGATCATTGGATCAAGCCACCCTTGAACTCGCACAGTGGGCACCATGGTTCAGGGAACATTTCCTCTGTGTTTTCCCTCCTRGGTCATTAGGGTCCCCACTCAGGCCCTTCTGCCATTGGACAAGGCCATGGAGTTGAGGCGAGTTTTCACTGAGAAGGGAAGGGTGACAGAGGAGGGGACATATTTGACTGTGAGGGAAGAGAAGCAGGGAAAGGCACCTGACAGGGCCCAGGGGTGGGGAATATCAGGGACCAGTGTCCCCAGCTCCCTCCTCAGGCCTTGAGATGGACCGCAGGGGGCCGACTTGAGCTGGGGGTAGAATCCCTGAAGTTGGCCTGGGCTGCTCCCTCCCTGGCTGGAGACAGGATGTCTGGATTGTGTGGTGATGGCCAGGACCCTGGGGTTCCWTCTGGGACGGCTGGGGACATGGACAGTCATTGAAGATGTGTGCCAACATGCTCACTGTGGGAGCAGACAGGGTGGTCCCTTCAAGTGAGGGGCAAAGCGACCCCATCAGAGGCTCTGGGACAATTCTTGKTTTTTTTTTTATTAGTTGCTCAAAACATTACAATGATCTTGACATATCAGACATTTGATTCAAATGGGGTATGAATTCTTATTTTTCCACGTGTACAGATTGCAGGATCACATGGGTTTTACAGCCACATTTATACATACAGCCATACTAGTGTCTATTGTATTCTGCTACCCTTCCTATCTCCCCTCCCCTCCCCTCCCCTCCCATCACCTCTCTCTACCCACTCTACTATGACACTTTTCTCTCTCTCTCTCTTTTCCCCCCCTTACATCATCTTATATGTAATTTTGCAAACCAGTGAGGTTCTCCTTCCATCTTCCGTGCGATTTCCCTTCTCCCTCCCATTCCCATGCATCTCTCATCCCTATTTAATGGTAATCTTTTCTCATGCTCTTCCTCCCTGCTCTGTTTTGAGTCACCCCCCTTATATCAAAGAAGATATTTGGCATTTGCTCCTTAGGGATTGGCTAACTTCGMTTAGCATAATCTGCTCTAGTGCCATCCATTTCCCTGCAAATGCCATGATTTTGTTATTTTTTAATGCTGAGTAATATTCCATTGTGTATAAATGACACATTTTTTTTATCCATTCATCTATTGAAGGGCATCTGGGTTGGTTCCACAGTCTAGCTATTGTGAATTGTGCTGCTATAAACATTGATGCAGCTGTGTCCCTGTAATATGCTCTTTTAAGGTCTTTTGGGAATAGTCCAAGAAGGGAAATAGCTGGGTCAAATGATGGTTCCATTCCTAGCTTTCCAAGGAATCTCCATACTGCTTTCCAAATTGGCTGCACCAATTTGCAGTCCCACCAGCAATGTACAAGTGTACCCTTTTCTCTCTGGGGCAATTCTGAAACTATGATTCAACGGAGTCACAGGGAGTGTCGAACTCGCCCAGGCCGAAGATGGAGTGTTTTCTGTTAGGAGTGAGTGCTCAGGACAGGCTCCCGGGCAGCATGCAGGAGGGTTCAGGGCAGAACACCTACCAGGGTTTCCCTCCACACAGACCCCATTGCAGGGAGAAAAGAATTCCTGAAAGACTGAGCAATATATAAAGGAAAATGAATTTTAAACCTGAGGAAATATGGTTGGTTACCCACACTCAGTGCTTGAACCGATTGAGGCGGTGGGTGGTGAGGAGTTGGCTTCTTGTTTCCAGAGATCACAAAGCGAGTCCTAAGTTAGGATGGCAGGGACCTTGCTTTGGTCACTCCTGACGGTGGAGTGTGTGTCTGTTCGCCTCCAGGGTGGGGACCCCTTTGGCCCCCCAGCTCAGAGGGCTACAGGAGAATTACTTTATTAAAGAGAACACAGGGCCCCTCAACACTGCCAGAGCCAGCAATGAAAAGAAACGGGGGTCAGGTAAGACAGACAGTGGTGGGAGAGTGCGTGGGCCAGAAAGGAAAGGGGGCGTCACTGCGACAGCGCAGGGGTGGTGCAGGCCTTGGGCTCCAGAGAAGGAGGAGAAGGCAGAGACCATCTGATCCTTTTGGAGAATCCATCTTCACCAGAGGAGGTGTAGACAGGAAGTGGCTTAAACTCAGATGGAAGTGCCGTCTCCATCTCTCTGAGGCTTTGCCATGACTCCACCAGCAGACGCCCTCTCAGTGCTGTCCTGGGATCTGGCACAGCAGGTGGGTGTCGAGGATGACCAATGACTGTCCGATGCACTGAGACAGGGGAACTGAAGGCCTGGTTGTTGCTGACCACGCCTGATCTTCCCTGTGAGAGTGTTGGGAGGAGCTGGGTGTGGAGGGGGCAGGAGCCTGCTCACAGAGGGCCTGCGGGCATCCTGCAGATGCTTGGACTGATCCTGAGCCATGGAGGATTGTGTGTGTGTGTGTGTGTGTGTGTGTGTGTGTGTGTGATGGAGGGGGTGCTGTGGATCCAACCCAGGGACACTCTCACTGAGCTGCATCCCCAGCCCTTTGGATTTTATTCTGAGACAGGGTCTTGCTAAGTTGTCCAGGCTGGCCTTGAACTTGCGATTCTCCTACCTCAGCCTCCTGACTCTCTGGGATTACAAGCATGCACCACCATGCCCCACTCAATGTTCCCATCTTTGTACATAGTCTAAGTTTGTCTCTGTATTAATCTCACTGTTCATGGAACAACACTTCAGGACATCAGTGAATCAGCCCAATTATTGCTAACCCGGTGGCTTAACATTCCCTCTCAATTCTTCTGGAGGCCAGAAGTCTGAAATCCAGGTGTCGGCAGGGCACTTCCCTCTGGGGTTCTGAGGGAGTCCATTCCAGCCTCTCCAACTCCCGGTGGCTGCTGGCAACCCTTGGCTTATAAGCTGCATCATTTCAACCCAGGCTCTGTCTTCATGTGACCTTCTCTCTCTGTGTGCCTCTTCTTCTTGTCACTTACAAAGACATCCAAAATTGGGTTCAGGGCGCCTCCTAAACCACACTGATCTCATCACGAGAACCCTAACTGAACTACACCTTTGAAGGCCTTCTTCCTAAATAAGGTCTCATTCTGAGGTTCCAGGAAGGCTTAGCTTTGGGGACAGGAGGATTATTCAGCACATGATCTAGCAGATGAACAATTTCACCATTTATAGAGGGTCTAGATAAGGTAATAATTGAAATTGCGTTTCTATTTTTTTAAAAATAGAGAAATAGCTCACCTGCCATAAAATGGACCCTTTTGAAGTGTAGTGTGATGGGTTTCACGATGTCGACAGTCTGTGCAGTTACCACCAATAGTCGATGGTCTGCTTCCTGTCTGTAGAGATTTGCATCTTCTGGACAGTTCATATCAATGGAATCATACAGTATGTGGTCCTTTCTCTCTGACTTCTTTTACTTAGTTTGATGTTTTTTAAGGTCCACTCATATTCTAGCATGTGTCAGTGTTCCTGTATTCGTCAGGGTTCTCCAGAGAAGTGGAACCAACAGAATGTGTGTGAAGGTGTGCGTGTGCAAGGTAGGGAAGAGGGAAAAAGAGATCCGTTTTATTTTAAGGAATTGGCTCACATGATAACAAAGGCGGATAAGTTCAAAATCTGCAGGTTGGGGTTTCAGGCTAGAGACCCAGGAAAGGCTGCCATGCAGTTTAAATCCAAGGGCTGGCCGCTGGCAGAATTCCCTCTTGTTGAAGGGAGTTCAGTCTTTTGTGATATTTATATCTTCAACCGATTGGGAAAGCCCACCCACATTAGGGAAGCCAATCTGCTTCACTCAGTCTACGCAGTTAAATGTTAATATTATTTGAAAACATCCACACAGAAACATCCAGAATAACATTGGGCCAAATATGTGGGTACATAAACCAAAAATGTGGTTTAGCCAAGTTGATTCATAAAATTTACCATCACAATGATTTTTATGGGTAAATTATAATTCATTGTATGCATGTACCACATTCTGTTAGTCTAGTAAACATTTMATGGACATTTGGATCGTTCCTAGTTTTTGGTTATTATGAATAAGGCTGCCATGAGCATTGGTGGGCATGCATTTCTTATGTCTGTGGCAAAACCATGACTGAAGACCTTGACTCTTTGCTTAGCCAGATCTCCTGTCAACCCACTTTCATACCTAAATTTGGAGATTAAAATTTCTTTGTAATTTTAAACCAAAAATATGAGACTTTTCCAGATGAACAATTAAATTTTGATTTGGCAGGCAAATCTAGGATTATAGAGATTCTTTTTTGAAAAACAAATATGTCTTCACAGACTTCCCTATTTCAGATAGAATAATTTTATTAGAATGTTGCTCACATGTTCAAACTCAAAACTATATAAAAAGTTTTAATTTTATTATATTTTTAGCATTATGAAATCCAAACCAATTTAGAAATCCAAATAAAGGATCGGAATAGAATTAAAAATATTAGTGA